TGTACAACAGAACTGAAAGCAAGCTAGTGAAGCATTTACCCACCTTTAGTGTTACCTTCAAGCGCTCTCTTTTCGTGTTCGTTCAAGGAAAACCTTCCAAGGAAATCATCAATTGCTTTCTGCTTTGATTCCAGACGTTTTCTGCAAAGTGAAAGGATTCAGTCCAAAATACAACCTCATTCGAAAAATAAACCAACTTTTGGTTTTGTAGAGCGCTGGTTTTACTGAGCAGATCCTGAGTTTTCTCTTTGTTCTGTTGTATACGATTGGTTAGATCAGAGCATATTCTATGCATTGTACGAACTTTCTCGGCAAAATCCTGCACATGTGCATTCACCTGCAACATAAAAATAATGAATCATTCCGCTGGTTCGTCCTTTTTTAGGATGTGCCACGCATTTTTACATGGACTCGGAATCGTAGCAACTCTTGAATGTCATCTGGCCTATACAATAGCTTTTGTGGCCGGTACAGGTCAGCATTTCTACCCTTCTTCTTGAGCCTGATACCATTTTACTGGTCACGGGGGGATGAAAGGCTTGGTTGGGCAGGGTAGGAGCCGACCTGAGATTTGATCAAAGGGCAGCAGAGCTAAGAGCCATCACACAACCCCTTCAGGGGACTTTCTCCTCTGGTGCGACCCCCCCGGTGTTTCTGGTGTTGTTTTTGTAGTTTTCCCTGAATTGTCCAGCCTGTCCCCAAAAGATGCCATAGAGATCGGGTAAAGAGGGGGGAGAAGAGTATCACGCACCTCACCAAGCGACCAAGTACGACCTCTCTCGTTGGAGATCCCCACGCACGACGTGCCCGAACCGCGGTGCAATTTCTTTCCCGCAAGTTCCGATTCAAACTTGACATCCAACCTACGAATACTCGTTCCCAGCTCCTCCATAATTCGATTCCACCATGGTAGTGTCAGTTTTGATCAGTTTTAAAACAAAGTTCACCTTCACTCCCTACCTTCATGAAACACATCCCGATTTTCCAGTAGTCATGACAAGGCTATGTTCACACTCAGAGTTTTGAAAACGGAGGATACTCGAAAAAGAATAGATACCATTCGTTTTCGTCAGCTCCGCCTATGTGGAAAGCGATGAAATCAGGACACGACCCACCGTTCACAACAGGGCACATCGTTGTTGGGGAATCCCCAATAGGGGGGTCGTATTTGGGCTGAGAAAAATTTTTTGATAGTTGATTTTTCTCGCTTCATGGACGTTGTAAAGGGAGGGGGGTCGTATTTACGTTGTTGTGGGAGTGGCGGTTGACTTTTGGTGATTTTCCTGTTTCACGTACTATATGCCCCCCCTCCCCCTCCCCCGCTCGACAGCAAAATTTTTGGTAAAAAGTACTATATGCCCCCCGCTGACGGATCGCATCAACTTCGCCAAAAAAGGGGAGGGTCGTGCGGGTCCTCAACAAATCCCCAACTAATGGCAGTTGTCCCTTGGCTTCACAAAAATATGCAAATACTATGACTTCGCCTGAAATTTTTCCTCGCTCTCGGCCTACCTACATCCCTTCCCAATGCATGGCCTTTACCATTATATTCATCGAACCACCTCCCATGCTTCTCTCACTTTTCCAAACATTTGCCGTTTTCCTCAAAACGCAAGCACCGTCGGCATAAGGGAGGTGGGGCGGGGAGGTTTATAACGCACTTGAAATCAAGCACGGAAACACTTTTCTCAAAGCAAGTAAGACCATTCGTTGGCGATCCCAGCGCAAAACGTGCCCTGGGTGAGACTGACTCGAATTCAATACTTCTGGAGCTCTACAGCTTTATCACCGGGCAGAACCAAGTGATTCATCTCAATCGCATGCTTTTCATGGACGCTCCAAGTGTTCGACGGGTACAAGCGTGGCTTAAGACGAGTCATCCTATCGGAACTTTGAGAATTCCCTCACCAAGAAGCACCATATCGACAAAGGGTGATTACAGAGGAATAGGCGGAGGTGGTAATCCGCTTAGCTAATCTATGATAACATTGGGATATGTTGAACACATAGAATTCAAGAAATTCAATATCAAATCTTGGCCTGACTAAATCCTAAACGTTTGAAAGCTACACATTCAGGCGCTACTCCGTTCAGTGGGAGGGTGCATTTCTATCATTTGTTCCCTGATCAATTATACGTTGGTGAGACCTGTAGTTGTTGTCAAGAGAAAACGAAACTCTTGCTATTGCATAGTTTTGCAGGTATTTATAGTTCTCCACAGGGGGCTTCGGCAGTGATCCATGGGAATCGGCCAAATGCCTCCACCAAGCCGAACTGCGTTCAGATTCATATTCGTCCATAAACATTGTGGCGTAAACCCGAATGGAAATTTTGCGATTCATGAATATTCCCTCACCCCGAATCGATCCCTACCTTGTGGTCTATGGTCTAGTACTATACGGTGTACAGAAATGAAAAATGAAAAAATAAACCAATGAAAAAACCTTTTCAAACTCCTGCAAATATTCCCTATTGAGTTTCATCTGTTGCTTTTCTAAATTTCGAAGAAGGCGACGTTCCGTGTGTATGTCAAGATTTTCCACCATAGGAGCCACATAGTCCACAACTTTCACAAACTCCTTAACAGATAATTTTGCATCACTGGAAGAAGTATCAGCAAACTAGAACTTGGCTCTTGTCCAACATACCGCGGCAATCCGGTCCAGATTAAAAAAACACATTACGATCATGTTCCCTGTTATGAAAAGATCAGCGAAACCCTTCTCCATTAGTATAGGATGCCTGACTCTTTAATTCAAAGCCTTTCTGGGTTACGGTAAAGGTTTGGTTGCCACCGAAATTACCGTGTTGTGAAGATTCATCCACTCTCTTCTCATACTACATTTCTGGGAGAAATCTTCATTCGGCTGTCTCACAATCGTTTCTTCACCCTTCCAACAAGGAATGAAATTACTGCTAACCATCAGAGAAATGGCAAACGAGCCTTAGAGGTAATCGTAGGTTTGGAGAGCTCCTTGCACAGAGTACGACTACCGTATCCTGGCGAACTGGTGCACCAAAAAGCCTCGGTATCTTAGGCGGCGTTCATACCGTGCGACGTCGTCGTCAACGTCGACGTAACCGACGTTTCGACGACTAGTTCGCGAAGATTATATACGTATCGATCCGACGTAACCGACGAACTTGACGAAACCGAGGTTTTCAATGTCAGTCGAAACGTATCTAATCTTCTGCCGTCGGCTACGTCGATGACCTCGACACGTGGATCGATACGTATCTAGTCTCTAGTTGCCAAAAACGTCGGTTTCGTCGGATCAATACATATTTCGTGTTCGTGAAAGTAAGTCACAGACCGCCGTATACGTCCGTATACGTCGACGTTGACGACGACGTCGCACAGTATGAAACCAGCATTGGGTCTCTATGGCTTTGACGGATGAAGGTTGCAAAAAACGCCGGACATATAACTGGCATTAGCTTGTGTGCAGAGCGAGAGCAATAGTCGACGCGCTGCTGACCTCCTTCTCTCAGAAAGCTGCTCAGTTGAAGAACGCCAACAACACCGGGTCGCCTAGGCACGCAAGAAAACAATGTTTCCACTAACCTAAGAACGTGTTCTTCGCGATCTGAATCGCCCAAGGATCCCACGTAATTCACGTGCATCGTATCGCGAAGTATGAACGGAGCATTTGAACCGTGATTAGAACGGATATGCGAGACCCTGCGTCGAGTGGACTCCCCCCCCCCCACTATCCTAGTGCCGGAGTGGACTCGTCCTCCCATACGTTGCAGCCAAACGGCCTTTGACGAAGATCTCGACGACGAGTCATGAAAAAGTAGCCTCTTGGAACTGCTAGTACTACCCATAGCTTGACACCTTGACAACTTGGTAAAGATGCTTGAACAAATTGCCAAAAATAAAATGGGAACGCGTAGCCTATAGAAGTTCGCTCGCGAGACGATTGGGCCCGTGGACATAATGTCAGGCAGCGCTTGAGCTTTGGCCGGCCGCCAAACACCGCCTGTCAGCAGTTGCTTGAAGTGAGCAAATGACATGAGTGTATAGTAATCGTTAGTAATTACTCGCTTTTATCTACACTTTTATCTCGCATCCGTGCTTCCTAACAAGCTATGAGAACTGCCTGAACGGGATGGAACACTCATCCTGCCTAACAAGCCCAACCGTCCGCAGTGAACTAGAGTGTATGTGATCGTATAGCGAGCAGTTCTTCAAAAATCGCAAAAAACGAAGAGGCTGTGCTGCGCTGTCGTTGAATAAAAGATAAATTCCGCAAATTGCCCACCAAATACAACAAATCCCACGCGTAAACCATCACTGCTAGTGAAGAAAGGGTTGCTCTGCGCTTCTTGATTCTTGTTCACGAGGAAATCCTCACGGCTTAGTACTTTTAAAAAAGAAATATTCAAGAGAATAAGAACTTACGGGATCATTATGTAATTTACTGGCGACGAGTTTGTCAATTCTCCGTTTGATGGGATTTGTCACCGAGGCAGTGCTGTCCACGGGACCGACTGTCGGAGGTACTGCCGGCGTTGTGCCGTCAGCGACCGATTCCATGGCCTGAATTCCACAAAACGCCCACCAGGCACACAGCTGGGTGGGCAAAGGCGTGGCCACCACGTCATTCCGACAGGAGCACTTTTTCGATCGCGCGAAAACTCGTCCGGCTCTCCGGCGCTTCCTCCTCCACTGCACTGCTCACGTCCATCGTGCTCTTTTCTTGTAAAATCTTGTCCAGATGGCCAGGGCATCCTGTTTATTGTGTTTGCCGTTGAGCAACACCTATATTGGAAACCGGATTTTTTTTTCTCGCTGCTTTCCTGATTTTTCGTCTTCTCAATTCTATTACGTTCTCAAGAAGTTACCTTTATCCGTTCACAAACCCGGTAAGTTTCTAGAAATTTGTCTTGGAAGGACTTAAGAGGAGGAAGAAAGTCCTTTCTACTACGAGTTACGTCATCAGCTGCGCCGTTGTAACGGGTTCTATTTATGAAAGACAGTCTTCGCGCTTGAGTAATTCTATTCGTCCTTTTGTGCAAGTAAACTGATCTTCATCGTCTGAGATCATCCCTCTTTCGCGGCTTCACAGTAAGTGCAGAAGGCGCTGTGGCCTTCGTAAACGGTGGTTCTGACGTCTTCAGTAGTTGTCCCGCCCAACAAAACCGAAAAGCTGTTTTCTGCCACGAGTTCAGTTTTCACAGCTCGGTTTTCGGTTTTTTTTTTGCTGTGGTATCAACATAGGATGACGTGAAGAATGTAATAGTGCCTCATGGGGCCAGGATATCGCTTGCTAGCATGAAAAGAGCAGGCCCGAAAAACTCGTCCAGAAATGCCGCCAGGTCCTTACTTGGGGTGTCCCCATGATTTTTTTTCTTGGTTTTTTCTTCTCGTGTCACTTAGCGACTATAGGTTTGTATGTACGCCATCATCCATCAATATACAATCGCGGGGTTTGCCTTTAGAGCTCTGAAATGTTATGAAATTTGTATCGTCCTTTTCTAGGTATGGACGTCCTTGGCACGGCTCGTGCCTATATCAAAGAGATGGTGAATTTAGCTGGACCTCAAATGAAAGTCATTCTTATGGACAAGGAAACGGTACATTTTCATTTTCATATTTCTTATAATTAATTGCTTATTTCATATTTCAGACCACCATAGTTTCTTGTGCTTTCGCGCAATCTGAAATGATGCAGAAAGAGGTATGCTAGACTTTCCTTCATCTCTTATTTTCGGAAAACTGAATAGCATCACATTCTTAAGGTGTACCTGTTCGAACGCTTGGATTCGCCAGTTCCAAGAGAGCCAATTAAACACCTCAAATGTCTCGTGTTTGTGCGGCCTACACCAGATAATGTGCAATTATTATCCACAGAGCTACGAAATCCAAGATACGCACAATACTATATTTGTGAGTTGTATCAGTAGTAAGGATTAGTCGCTCGGTTTGGAGGGGCATTTTACCCATTCGTCAATTGTTTTGGTTTATGTGGCTAACAGGTATCAGTGTGGATGTAAGAGCTGCAAAATCTTGCGAAAAAGCCTTTTTGGTCATAGGATTGTGCAGGTCTTCACACGGTACCCTGTACAAGTTTAACAGAGTACCATTCCATGCCCCCACCAAGCCGAACTGCTCGTCGTTTGCACTACTTGTTACTGTTTTCAGATTTTTCAAACATTGTTAGTAAAACTGATCTGAAGGCATTAGCTGAAGCTGACGAACACGAGGCCGTGAGTTTTCAATGTAGTCTATCATCTCTTCCTGATCCTTTAGCTTGAACAACTTGCTAGCGATTCCTCTCCATCTTCAGATATCATTCGTTTGATTTTTTCTTTTTTATATCGTTCTACTTTTTCTGTTGGATGTTTGCGATTATTTCTATAGTTTTCATATCAAATTATTATTTTTATTGTCGTTTTCCCTTGGGTTCTCCTGCGTTCATGAAATTTCTCCCGGTCATCTTCTTTTCACACTAAATGGGTTCCGTTGTCGATATAAATAATGGTTGTAGAATCTCAATGAAGGGCTCGTGTTTGGTCACTAGCGGGAGGGTGTTTTGTGGTATGCCCCTTATCCCACTATTCGATCGAGACGCCGTATATTGGAGGAGAGGAGGGGAGGTTGAAGAGGGGTGGAGGCAAGTTCACGTGCATTTTGTGTCCTCATGATGTTCTTCTAGCGTTTCCATCGGTTCCCATTCATTGGAGCGATCTATGAGTTTCGTTCTTTCTCTCTTATTAGCGCCAGGGCACGTGCTGCTACTAGCAAAATATTTCCTTTTCCTGGTACGCCCTCCCCTTTCTCTTCTCCCATCCCATCATCCCGCCATATTCGAATCTACCTGCTCCCTACCACTCCCCAAAAACTTGCTTCGAACGGGGGGGGGGGAGGGAGTATGGTAGTGAGATAAATTAGTCAGGCTGCACGTATTTTCAGGTAAGAGAAGTCCACGAGTTTTTCGTCGATGGCATAGCGCTGAGTGCACCGTTGTTCAGTGTGAATTTGAAACATATTTATGATCAATCCTTCAATGTAACGGCTTCTTCCTTTCTTCGTATTAAGCAAGCGTTGGTTGCTTTATTACTGAGTCAAAAGAAGAAACCTCTAATAAGGTAAGTGCATTCGCTTTCATCTGGAAAGGTGCAATACTGAATGTTAAGATATCAGCGCTCATCGGAAGATTGCAAACGGCTAGCCGAAGATTTGAATCAGGTGCGTTCAGATTTTTTTGGAGATGCGTTCCGCGACTAGTGCGCCCTGGTAGTGTTTCCTAGCTAGCTGGTTAGTCAGACACAGGCACAGAGAGAGCTAGTGGGACATCTTGAACTTTTGTGCATGGTCCTGTTACGAAACCCTGTGACGCAGACGGGTAGAGGGCAGCGGCTGCCAAAGCATCGAAACGTGCAAAAAACGTATGGCGAGTCAGGAAACGGGATTTTTCAAGGGGAGGGACTCCGGGGTGGGTGAGCTACTTATAGTCGGTGAAAAGCTGGAGTGAGCGAAGTCACAACGGCCATAGAGTGCCATGCGGACGAGAGAGTGCAGAGAAAAAGAGAAGATCGACGCGTTCAAAGGGATTAAGTTCAAGTTGTCCGTAGACCTCGTGTTCGTAGTTGTTATTTTGAGTGGGTTGGGTCCTGGTGCGAGGCCAGCGTGCGTCACCCGCTTGCTACGCGTATTTTGCCGCACTCACGGCAATTGATGCTCCACACCCCGCATGGATAATCAGCTTTGATCGCCCGGGTAGTCGAGTTCGCTGAGCGTCTCTGCGTCTCCATGCAGCGCATGCTTTTTTGGGAGTATACTGTTATTCCTGAGTCGCGGCAACCGTGGCGAAGGAGGCGTGATTTGTGGAGTCAACACTTGGCATTTGCCTTCAAAACCAAACCGATTCAACGTGGCGGAGCTGGATGCAGTCATAGCTGATCCAGTCAAACTAACTAAAATACTCGCACTATTTTTCGCGCCGGACTGCCGCGACTCAACACAATTCACTCATTTATTTTGTTCGCTGCGGATGCTGGGGCGTGTCAGGGGGTCGGCTTTGGTGCAACGCGAGCTTGTTTCTCACTAATTAGTGTCGCTTGCCCTCTTCAACAGAGGATGGAGAAAGGATTGGCATTACGCCAAACCTAGCCTTTACCCTGACATGCCCCAGCATCCGCAGCGAAAGATACTGTACAACCTTTCCGCTTCATTTTTCACTGATGAGTCAATTAGCTGCTAAAAATTAATATGTGATCTTCACTTCTACAACCTCCAACCGCGGAATGTGTCTCTATTCTCGCCGTTGCATCAGTTGATTTCCTAATAGATTCTACTAATCGAATCCTGATAGTTCTTCACTTATAGGTTATGCGACGTGAAGAGGGCCTCTTTGATAATGCAAAGCGTGATGCCGTCTTGTTAGTTGTGGACCGTAGCGAAGATCCGGTAACACCATTACTGAACCAGTGGACTTATGAAGCAATGGTTTGTTTTGCCATTTTTGCTTTTTAGCTACATTATATTCTCAAGCATATTCGCTAGTTTAATGATGAAATCCCTACTTCAAGTAGATTCACATCTGTAAGTGAAACTTGTGCAGGTTCACGAGCTGATCACTATTAACAACAACAGAGTTTCGGTAGATGGCCAAAGTATGGTTCTGAGCGAATTGCACGACGAATTCTACGCGAAGGTTTTGTGATTTCTTTTTGTGATGACCTCTTCTTGGGTGCAGGTCGAGAGATCCGCGTTGCGGCGACGCGGAGTTGCAGGTTTTGTCACATGCGCGGCATCGGCACAGCACCTAATTGATTTAACGGGGAAAATGTTGCAGTATATCAAGTCAACTTGCTAGGGAATACCGGCTAGTTTGCGTCGTCGCCGCAAAGTAGATCTCCCGACCGACATCTTGAATAAGAGTATGTGTAAAGACAAGTACGAGTAATGACAAAGACAGTATGTATCTGAAGTGTTAACTTATTATTCCAGAACGTCTCATCTAATTTCGGAGAAATTGGCCAGAATATCAAGCTGCTGATGAACGAGTTCCAGCAGAAGTCTCAAATTCACAAAAATTTAGAATCAATAGCTGATATGAAGAATTTTGTAGAGGAATATCCGCAATTCAAAAAGATCTCAGGTATTTCGGCATCATGCTACGGCACATAAGTTTCGCTGCCATTTATTTGCTTTTGAAGGAACTGTTTCGAAGCATGTCACGTTGGTAGGCGAACTTAGCAAAATTGTGGCAAATCAGAATCTCTTGGAAATTTCAGAGGTAAGTAGTCTATCATGTTTTCTCTATCGCATACAGAGGGCTACAGCAGTTCTATGCTCGTGTGTTGGAATTATGATTTGCCAGTTTCTGGGTTAAAAAGCGGCGAAAAATCCAAAGTTTGTGCTCTGTGTCAGCTACCTGTGGGCATGGAGAGAGTCCTATTCGAGTCGTTTGGAAAGGGCTCGTTACAGGCTTGCTGACTGGGATCTGTAGTAGTGCGGAGAGAAGCGCATTAGAGATGACGCTGTTTGGCTTGGGATGGGCTTTCTGCATTTCTGCTAGTTCTTTTCGTTAGTGCTAAAAGGAATCGCTCTGGTGGCAGCTGTAAACAATTGGGAAGCTCTGAAATACTGCAGATGAGCCACTCTGGTCACAGAAATTGTACAGCTCTTCACAAGGTGGCCAGAACTAGCTTCGCTGAGCACCACCTGGTGCACCCACCAAGCCGATGCGCCTGAGAGGTTTTAACCCCTTCCGACCCCCTCCCCCATTCTGAGAGATGGAGAAGAGATAGGAGACTTGGATGAACTTGTACTCTTGTGTTGAAAGGGATCGCGTTCACGGGAAGGAGGGGAAGTCGTGTTTGTGACCAGTTTTCCTCACCGCCAGGACATGCCTTGCCTGTGGGTAGTATGATCTTTAACGCTGACAATGGAACTTCTTGTTCTATAGTATCCTGTATCTCTCAAAGCGATCATTTGTTAGCTGTGGCGCGGGGGCTCCGCCCTCTAGCTACGGCGACGCCCTCCTTTCATTTTCAACTGCAACGTGATGGTGCGGTTGTTCCGCTGCTAGCTCTCTCCATTTCGAATGGTGAGAATGAGGTGATAAGGAGAAAGAGCTGGCACCAACAAGTGAGAACTCGTCCGACCACGCCTTTTCTTCGCCTTATGCACGTACAGGCACACAGGGTTGCTTTAGGGGGCGGTTCAGAGCGGGCTTCTCCTGCTTTTTTCTTCACTCTTATATTATTTGCTATTGTCATCAGAGTTTGAGCCTCACAAGTCACCATTTTTTTAGCACGGGGCGTGCCTTTATTATATGATCATGATAACCTCCCTGTTTGAGCTTTCTTTCAGGTGGAGCAAAGTATAGTCGCAGAAGGGGACCACTCTCGTTGTTTGGAACGTATACGGGCGCTCATTAATCACCCTAAAACAACAAAATTAGTGAGTTTAACCATTGGGTTCGCTGCTTCGAGAATACTTCGAGAATATGAACTAGTTTTTCTTTGTAGAATGCCCTTCGACTTGTGCTACTTTATGCACTCCGATTTGAAGGAAATCCGAATAACGAGTTATCCTCCCTGGTGGGGATGCTCAGGAAGGTTAGTTTCACCGAGGTCTCTATTAGGGCACCGTCTGTTCGGTCTTTTCGGATCTATTTGCTACGATGTTTTTTATTACTTTCTTTGTATCCAGGACAATGATGCAGCAAAAGTAGTCCGAGCATTGCTGCGGTATGGAGGAGCAGCTCGACGGAAGAGTGATCTTTTTGGAGAAGGCACAACAATGGGGATGACCAAAAGGTATGAGCTATGTGCGTTGCTTGGAGTTATTGCGATATTTTGGCACTATGGGAAGCAAAGCGTGCCGGCAATCGTGATGCTGGTGAAATGGTAGTCAGCCAGCTAGACACCCCCCCCCCTCGCCTTTCTCTGGGTGAGTCTTGGTACGCCTCCCGCCAACCTAAGTGAGGGTCGTGTCGTCAGTAACGCATCGCACTCCGCTTCGCCAGGCTTCCTTCCTAACCTAAATTCCCTACATTTTCCATTTTTCACCTCGGGTTTTTTCGTTCGAGCGGACAGACGGGGAGAGGGTAAATACGTAAACTATGAAACCAGGAAGTATCGCACGAAAAGTCAACAACGGGGAAAATTTTTCTGTCAAAGCTACATATGAGCCACCCTCACCCAACGACGACCAGATACGACCCGCTTCCCCGCCGGATTGTACGACCAGCCTCTATGTTTGGTTTTGGGTCCCGCACCACAACGATGGGCTGTACGATGCTGTACACTGTATGGGAGGCTGGTAGGCCGGGCCAAGCCAGAAAATTTTCTTTTCGTCTGTGCTCTTCAAAGCTAAGGTTGTTTGGGGGGAGGTAAACTACCGAACGGAGACTGTCTCGGTGACGTGAACGAAAAGAGAAGAGCGTAGCTAATCTACCCCAATTTTAACTCTTATAACCCAGCATCTTTTCCTTTGTTGCGTCTCCGATGTTATTGTCAATCACCTAAAAGGGTTCCGTTTTAAAAATTTGTCTCAGGTTCATAAAAGGACTGAAAGGCGTCGAAAATATCTACACACAACATGAACCCTATCTGAAGGATATAGTTGAAAATATCGTCAAAGGACGGTTGTCAGAACAGCAGTATCCTTACGTTGCGGGAGATGTGACAGGGTGAGTTCCGTGAAGTACTGTTATTGTTCTCATATTTCAAAATTTCGCCCGTATCGGGTCCGAATTGTTTGACGTTCAACGATCTCTTTCTCCTCCCACCCAGGGCACGTCATACTTTGGGGTATTGGTCGATGGAGGAAGTGGTCGTATGTGACTGTGAAAAGTGTTTCGGCTGT